TCCGACCACTATAACAGATATACTTAGCGTATTTTGTTCAGAAACGCAGCTGTTTGAGAAAATCTTTTTTTCCACATCGCTTAGGGTGATGTATTAGTGTCAGTGCAAAAATATACTAATGTTAGTTTTTACTAGCTTTATGTGCTTTAGAGATAATAGTAAATGATGAATGGTGAAAAGAAAAAAAACAGAAAAAAATTAAATACGAAACAAATCAATAAATGTTTGCAGAGTAAAAACAACATCAGGCTTTGGTGAATAATTGTTATCTTCGATATCTGATGGATATAAACATCGAATAATTTGCTTAATTAATGGAGGTAGTTCATATACTTCTTTTTTCTTGGTTTTTAATTTTTTTTGTCGAGCATCGAGGATCAGTTGGTTGAGCTGGTTCAAGCTCTCTTGACGACATTTTCGATCATGAGGCAGATCAAGTGGATTTGTTTTGATATTCAGTGCTGGAGATAACAATGGTGAATCGACATTAGTTGTTATTGCTAATGTTGATATTGATCTGATTAATGATTTTGTTCTACGAAAAAAAGTACAATATTAGTTTTAAAATAAGATAGTTTGTTTCGAGAGAAACGAGAAAACTCATTCACTGCCCGCTTTTCTAGACTGCCGAGCTTTCGTAAGAAAATTTGAAGATAAGAACTGCTTACTTTATAGTGCTGTTTTTCTTGCGGTTCTTCGATTTTTCTTGATTGATATTAGTCGAGTCAATATTATCTAAACTATCTGATTCATCTGTGCTAAAGTCTTCGCTACTTGTTGTAGCATTGGACTCAACTTCATCAATACCTGTGTTCTTATGGACCACTGATGAAGAAACTACATTGTCGGGCTTCAGAATTTTGACTAGAGTTGATGGCATTCTAACATTTTCTTCGTCAAATGCGCGACATAATGAATTATAACATATATCGAAATTATTCATTTTTTCTATAAAGTGTAAAAAAGTGTAAAGAAAGACAAAAGTTAATAGAAAGCACATTCTATTTTTTCGTTAATAGTAGAAAATATCTGAACGAAAAAATGCAAAATCACTCTTGAGCCAACGAATAAGAAAATCATACAAAAAGACAACAG